ATGGCCCTTATACAGCCGCTAATCACAATCATTGTCCACATTCCTTGTCGCATGAACTGGCGCTCTTTGGCCATCAAATGGCCCTTGCGCCAAAAAACACCATATATCATCATCATACATGTTGCTGATGCCTCACTGTTATCCTGACAACAGTGGAGATGGCACACCATTTTTTGGCAGAGCAGCTGAAGTATACCATTTTACAATGTATTGGCTGAAACACACCGATTGGCTACACCAATACAGCTAAGTGTTCAATCAGAGCTGAATTTGCAAATTTGATTTACTTACTATCTTCACAGGCAGGAATATATTATAAAATCATTCATTGGCTTAGTCTTGGACAGAGGGCTCAGCACTGGGTCATTTACTGTTTATGTTGATATTGTTAATCCTGCCAAAGTGACACTGAGCTGTAGAAGTGGTCTGATTTTAACTTAGCAGGTGGTGTCATAGCACTTGGACACGTCATCTGCTGAATGTGTGAAATGTTGCTAGAGGCCTAATTGTTCCAAGCATCATAATTTTAGAACTCCACTCTGGTGTGCTGCGTAATGTAGGTTGGCAAATTAGATGCCAAGCACATAATGCAACATGTTTTTAGGGGTGTTCACTGCTACTCTTGGCTAAGGAGGCTGCATGGCATTGCTGAGAGAAAAGATAAAGCAAAACCACTCGGTCACACTTATGGAAAGGCAGCCGATAGCTACAGCAGCGAAACTTGTTGCCTCAATGCGCTGGGGGAAACTGTATCAGCAGGCTATGTATTTTTTTATTAATGGTGTGTTGATAGTACCGAATAACGCTGGGGTATAAGATTAACGTGGACTTTGGAATAAAAATGTTGTGGCCTGTCTAGTACTTTTCTTTGGCCAGTGTACATGAAAAGTTAAGGGGGAACGTGGCAATGGGAATGGTAAATTTGGTCAAAATGTTAAATTTTTCAATTAGTTTTTTTCTGGAATCGTGAGAACATGTTTTACATCATGATGAAAAGACCAAAATAAGTTGTAGAAATTGAGAAAAAAAGCAGTTTACTGGTAGGCTGTCATTGAAAGCTACAAGAAATTAGGGCTTTAGAATGTGGAATACTGCAGTGTTTTCTTGGCATAGTGCCTCCATATTGGTATCATCATGAGGACAGATTGGAGCTTGAGATAGCCACAAAGCTGAATTTTTCTGATAAAGGATAAAGCCAGCTCTCTTCAGAGTTCTGTATTTTTTTTTTAGCTTCTAGCTTTGACTTTTTTGAGCTCCATTTTCTCAGCTTTCGTTTTTTAGGCAGTTACTGTCAGTCATCTCTGTGCCATTTTGCAATAAACTAAGATATAGCCACTCCGTTTTCTGCTCTTAGATCCTGAGACATTGGTGAGTGCCGTAAAGGTGTCTATTTTGTGTGCACATCATACAGATTTTTATAATTGACTTTTTGTAAAAGTTGTTAGTAAGACAAAATGCCCATGACGTTTCAAAAATTTTTGTATGCCAAATTGAATATTTAAAAAAACATTAATATTATGTCACAGAATAGGCCATTGTGAATATCTTTATACAAATATTTTGATGAACTAATGTCTAATTAATTTTGGGATAATAATGAGAGCATATCAAGTGTTCTAACTCAGACTATATAGATAGCTCAAAACTAATTTCAGTTATCACGTCAGCACAATAAAGGACATCTGCATGCCAAATTTTATCAATTTATCTTCATAAATAAGATAGTTTTCATTGTCATGTCCCCCCTTAAGTCTTCAAAAGTGGTCATCTTGGATTGCATCTGTTCACTTTCTGTCGCATAGGTCTTCTTGCGATGATATTACACAATTTTATGCATCATTAAAAAGGGAAAAATAATGCTGACAGTAAATCTATTATTAAAAGGAAAAAAAGTGGGCTTTGGTTTCTAGAAAATGTCCTTGGTCGGTAAAGTAGGTATTGTTCTTTATTTTTGCAATATGAGTTTGGTTCCTGAAGAGAAAACACACTGTGGACTGATGTTATTCAGTTTTGTGGCAGTTGTGAAAATTGCCTTTTTTATTGTTTTGATTTAGCTATTCTTAGACAACTGACAACTCTCATTTTTGCCTCATGGCTGCTTTATATGAAAATAGCTGGATATTAGCTGGGGCAGTGCTGGTAAATTTTAATGTTTGGTCAAACCTGTAGTGATAGAAATGCAGTACAAAGGTTTATTTTGTCATGTTCATGCAAATTAAAATATAGAGGCACCATATTGTGTACACATCTTGCAAGTAAGCAGTCAACTTTTTTGGATTTGCATACCTGGTTCGAGTGACTTTAGCTATTGTCACCAACAGGAACCATACATGTCATGTTAGTCGTTCCCTCTTATTGCTTTACCACGGTAAAAATATCATGTATTGCTGTGAAGTGTGTAAAAAGCCATCTGTCAGCTCAATAGGAGAAAGCTTTTGATGTCACTTTGTCTTGCCAAATGATGCAACACTTTTGTGGTGCAGTTGTGCCTTTGTGCTGGCCTAAGTAAAAGCTTTGTGTCTAAGTAAAAGTTGGTTTGCATTGTATTGGGTATTGCTCAGTAAGATGAGCCTAATTGAAGGTGACTGCTTTACATTTGTCTTTAGAGTAGTATTTCCTAATAGTGGAGTTTGAAGAAGCTGCACTAAACAAACTCACTCAGTGTTGTGTTTCTGAATGGCTTTTATCCTGCTCCACAACAAATTATTCCCAATCATTATTACTGCTGGATATGACATGCTAACTGATAGGGTTTGGCACCTCTCTTTATCTTTATAAAAAGCACAAGTGACTTACTGTTTTTTTTCTTTTTCTTGCCTTGTGCAGGGTCATGTGTTCAGTAAAGTAAATGTAAAATATCAAGACAGTGTTAGTAATTTCATCAGTGTTTTCAATAGGGCAAGGTTGTAAGACATAGTAAGTGGGGCTCTTAAAGGGGCCCTGCAACACTTTTCTAAGTAGCCATTGGATAATTTTATTAAAGGAGTTTATTGCCTCGCGGAACTACAGTTACAAAAATTCTTAGAATTCATCAAGTGCGAGCGGATTCAGAGATTTGTCACACATTGAATTTTTTTTTCTCCCTTCTCTTGCCTCGACAAGCATACTGCAAGCTAAGCAGGAAGAAATGGCACAGGAAAAAGAAGTTACATCACGTGTGTGTCATGACCTTGGGCCCTTTTCAGTTTTTTGCCTCGAACGTTTGGCTCACTTTCAGTGTGATAACACGTGTGAAGGCACATGAGCCAGCATCCTGCGGCGGCCTCAGTAGCTATACAGCTCGTGGGGTTTAAATCAGTTAATGGCTGTAGATTTGGGTATATGGTATGGTCATTTTGGTATATGGCATAGTTCGTAGAAGGAAGAGGGAACGATTACCAGCTGTCTTTGAAAATTAATTTTGAATTCTAGGCTGCATGCTGCTATAATGTTTGGTTTGCGTGTTCTTGAAGAGCCTTGACTACTGATCGGCAGCGTTTCCTGAGCATGCTGAAAAAGTAATGCAGGAGTCCTTTTAAAGGGAACTCCGGTGAATTTTCGACCATACTAAAATAAGGCCTTATTCAAATAGTATAGACGCTCGTGCAACAACTAGGGGGGTTCATTTTGCCCAGACACTCGTCATAAATTTTAGTTAAGCAATGAACAATGAGTCGGAACAGAAACCGAAATGGGGAGCTGGTGCGTTCTTCATCGTCGATATCGGATGATGACATGTAATCAGTGTCTGATGACATCACGAAATCTGCTACAACTGCCTCAGCTGGCTAAGGTGTTAACATAGCTCACGTGCTTCTTCTAACGTGCGAAAAGCAAGTTGACCTTGTCATCTGATATGAGATTAGGCTGTGCCAGCTTGTCTGAACTTACCAGTGAGAAGTTCAATGATGACTGCATCTATTATCTGAGCACAAAAGCATTGCCTTTTGATTTTGACCCACCAGTGCATGAAGCATCTGACGTGCCCCTAATCGATCTCCTCCTTGCTCAATATTGTGCAAGACATGACATTAACGATAATCAAGAAACTTTATACAGCTGAAAAAAGTGAACTGTGTGCGCGTCGTCGTCGCCTCGAAGAAGAAAGCATGTGCTGCATCTGTCTGCTTGGCAAGACAGAGTTTCGAAGGAGTAGGCATTTATGTCACATACCCTCGGTGGCTCGCATTTACAAGTGTGATTCTAGAATTGGCTACCAATTTTTTAAATTGGTTTGCTAATAAAATAAATGTTATATGGTTTTATAATTTGGCACATATCATGATGGTACCGACGACAGCACATTTTGAAAGTTTTATTGAAATTGGTGAGTAGAGAAAAATCGATGGAGTTCCCCATAAGGAATGTCGACATGCAAAATTTTGCATCTGGCTTTTTAGTTGGCACTAGCAACTTATCACTGCTGGAAATCTTGTGGGCATGAGCATGTGATGATTAATTTTTGAAGACTGTTTAATAGCACCAAGTCGCAGTGTCCGAATCAGAATGCCCAGTGAGGGGGCTACCAGTATGGTTTTCACGTAAACATAGCTGGCTACTTGAGCACACAGAACCTGGTTGATATGAGCACTGCACAGACAACTCTTTTCAGTGAAGGCTGCCTGGGTGCTGCTATAATCTCCTCTGGGATGTTCCATATATGTGTGACTCTCCAAAAACTCTCTGCTGAAGCAAGGACATAAGCCTTTGTACACCCGTGCAAGTATGCCCCCTCTTTTCGTTAACAAGAAGAGAGCGTTAGCAAGGATCATGACAGCCAACTCTAACTCATGACGCAGATAGCAGTTGGCTGTTTACATGAAAACCTCACCTCCGAAATTTTGCGTTGGTACTTCTTTAAAGGAAGGGTTACTAAAGACACACAGATATTACTAGCAGTTTCCAGCTGTATTTTCCCCCTTTTCACATAACACTGACCATACTGAAATTTTTTATGCATTTTTCTTAAGGCAGTATCTAAACAATATGAACCTTAATATGGCTCCCCATGTAATGCGCAGAGTATGGCAATGCCTGGGGGTCAAGGTGCGCCCTATGGACCCGTTCCTTATGGCCGGCCGGGAGCACCTTCTTCTGGGGTCGCAGAAGGGACAAGTCCCCATGCTGTTCCTTATGGGGACAGTGCCCAACACATGGCCAAGGAAGCCCACCAGCTTCGACCTCTGCCTTCAGGGGTTATGACCCATCCTTCGTCAACACAGTCAAAGCCCAATGGGCCAACTGTGAATGGCAGCTGGGCTCATCTGGGTGGGGGATACTCCAATGGACCTGCATCAAAGGTCTCCCCGCACCAACAGCAAGTGCCTTCCTTGAGTCCTGCAGGTAGGCTGCTTTGAATATAAAGGAAAGACCCTGTAAGCGTCCAGCTTCTTCTCGCGTTGAAATTGTTTGTGAACTTGCTTGTAGTGTACGATTAAGGACTGTGATCAGCTGTAATAAAGGCGACTGTGGTTGGAGAGGATTGAGTGGTCAACTAGAGCACATATTAGCTCATTAGGAAAGCATTTTCTTTTGCCACATTGAATTGTAAGAAAATGAAAGGGTTCATTCGTATTGTAAGGGAACTGTGGTTTATTGGCTGTGTATAGTGCCCAAGTGCACATTGTGGGTGTCTCATTTTTGTAATCTTCTCAATTCATTTCGGTAGCTGCTGTGTGGGGCTGCTACTAGGTTTGTTTACAGTTGCTGCTTAATAATAATGTTATCCCTGAGTGGTGAAACTTTGGTCAACACTAACCCTTGTATTCACAAACGTACTTTGAACTTTTTACTTATCAGTAAATTCGCCTTTAAGCCCCGCCGCGGTGGTCTAGTGGCTAAGGTACTCGGCTGCTGACCCGCAGGGCGCGGGTTTGATTCCCGGCTGCGGCGGCTGCATCTGATGGAGGCGGAAATGTTGTAGGCCCGTGTGCTCAGATTTGGGTGCACGTTAAAGAACCCCAGGTGGTCAAAATTTCCGGAGCCCTCCACTACGGCGTCTCTCATAATCATATAGTGGTTTTGGGACGTTAAACCCCACATATCAATCAAATTCACCTTTAATGTGCTTCAAGAACCTACTTTGTACTTATTGCAGAACTTTCCTCATACTTGTGTAAGACTCGGCTAAGGTAGCCAATGACCCACCTTAAGTCTTCCTTAAACAACATGGCATGATACAACTTTGTGCAGTTCATTGATTATGTGGACAGCAATGAAGAAATATTGACAGCACAATGTACGCATACACGACTCGTCACTGCCGCCGTGAGTTCTTAATGATCCGTGGAACCCGGTGGAGACCTACGTCAAGCAGAAATTTGTGCTTCACAAAAAGTGCCGGAAAGAATATGCTTGTTGTGCCGTTTCCTCAAGAAAATATCCACAGTAGTGGATTTGCTGTGCCGCCTCTCATGCAGCGGCTCGCTCATCGTATCGCGCTTGTATGGCGTTGGCACGCTTGCACTTGGGAGTGACAACCTTGCCAATGTCTTGTAGTCGACGGTGTCACGAGTATACAGTCTAATGGACATCTGCTATGATTGCAAAAACACTGTTTCCCGTGCCGGTAAAATTTTATGAAGTGGCGCAAAGACTTTTCTAGTTGTTTGGTCAGGTGTACATGGATGCACGTCATATTGGCTATTGAATTTTATTGCAAGCTGCATCCACACTTTTGTTATTTCTGAAGGCAAATGGCGTTCGTCTTCATGTTTTGAAATATACCTCACAACACTTGTGAATATCCGCCTGTACGTAGACACTCTGTCGATGAAGTTCACTTCAGTTCATCATTCGAAATTCAATATGGCAGTGCAAGAGCCGCTGAATATAATGCAAATCTGTGCTCCTAATGCAGTGCTTTAATAAATACGCAGGCATTCACTGTTTTCATTCACCCTTGTCAGGTGAATTAAAGCAGTGAATGAAACAGTGAAAATAGTGGGAGGGGAAAGGAGGGTGCATGTTTGAAATCTCGCAAAGAAGGGAGGTGGGCGCCTGCTCATGATTTTATGGTGTGCACCTCCTACAGCCGAGCTAGCCATTCCGCCTGCTCTGTCACAACTGCAGCCATTGTCTGCTAGGTGGGCTTGTAAGAGAATAATTACTGGTGGGAAAATGGCCATTCATAGCTGCCCAGAGTTACAGATGTGTACAGAATGCATTGTCCGACACTCTTCCAAGTATTAGCATTATAGTATTACCGTATTTACTCGATTACGCGCACCCGATTTCGACCGCGCAAAAAAAAAAAACGTAAGACATCGATTGCAATGCGCACCCATTTTTCTCGCTGGCCCGCACGATCACACCACTCGAAAAAACGACTCCTTTCGGGAGCGTCTTCCATTTAAATATGAGGCACAAGCGAAGCTTGCGCCCATCTGACGTGTAACAGAGCATTGCCGTCACACTGTAGTTTTATCATGGACCGATGTCGGCATGCGAACTTGCTTCGCCCCCTTCTCGACGGTTGTGGGGCCAGGCATGTCGAAGTAAAGAGGCGTCTGATCGGCATTTCCGATTTGCCCAAGTAGGTAGCCGTTGTTGCGCCGCAAGTTTAGGACGAACCTCTGAAAACTGAAGCTTTTCATCGTACTCCTCCGCAAAACTTTTCGCATATGCATGTTCCCCTTCGGAGGGAAAAGCCTTTCCTCTTTATAAAGTTAGTTAGCCAGCACCTGCTCGCTTTAAACTGGCTCCGCATTAGACCTTTTTCTAAGACTAATTGCATAGCCCGCACTTGCAGCAGTTCTGTCGTCACGGGCCGCTGTGCCGCTCGCTGCTCAAGCACATACTCGCCGAGCAGCTCTTTAATTTGCGGAAACAGACCCCACTGTGGTTCACTGAAGCCTTTGCGTGAAGCTTTGCTGTCGACAATCTTCTGCTTTTGTTTGCGCCGGTCCCGCACGCACGTTTCGGGAACTCCGAACAACCGCGATGCGGCCCGATTTCCGTCCGTTTCTGCACATGCAATGACTTTTCTTTTAAAAGCGGCATCGTGGTGCACTCGAGTTTTTGGAGTCGGCCCTTCCACGCCGTCGATGCTAATGCACTACTAGATGACGAACTCCTCAGCACACGTACGAAGTGCCGCACTTGGGAAACACATAGGCAGAAATGGCCGACGCACCACGCCGACGCACGTAGGGGGCAGCCATTTTGGATTTGCCGATGGCAATAGATTGACCGTAATTTTTTTGTTCGTACTCGATTCTAACGCGCATGAGATTTATGAACTCGCTTAACCGGAAAAAAGGTGCGCGTTAGATTCGAGTAATTACGATACTCACTTGTGTGTTGAAAAACTAGTATGTATAGATTTTGGTTCTATGTGGAGTATCCTTTAGTAAAAATGGAGGTTTTATTTTTAAACAATATGTTGTCTGTGCACAGGAGTACAGGCGTAGTATTTTCCCATGATGCAGGTGTGCCATCAAGCAGAGTAAGCCAGGGTTACCAGCACCCTGGTTCAAGTCCTTTAGTGACACCTACAGCATCTGGTAAGGCTTGGCTCACCATAATTTTGCGGACACTCAACTGGCTTAGATTCGAGGCAAGCTTACTACTGAGTAGACAGTACAAAGAGAAAAAGTGCGATGCAAACTTGCTCCAGCCTGAGGTGTTAGCTATTATTACAAGTAGATTCGGTAGATAGTTCATATTTGGTAGTGACATTTCCACATCATTACGATATTCTATTTCGTCTGTTGTGGTGAATCAGTGGCTATGGTGCTCGCCCGCTCACCCAAAGGTCACAGGTTTGTTCCCTATTCCGGCGGTCGCATTTTGGCGGAGGCAGAATGGTCGAGGCCTGTGTACTGTGTAATGTCGGGCCACGTTTAAAAACACCAAATGAAAGACATTTCTGGAGCCCTTCACTACGGTGTTCCTCATGATCATATCATGGTTTTGGGATGTAAAACCATACCATATTTTCGCACGTATAACCCGCACCAAAAACCCAAAAATTTTAGTGGCAAAGTGGAGGTGCGGATAATACGCGGGGTTTTTTTCTATAGTGCTACTTCACAGCAATGCGTGTTGTGCTGTGAAGCCCCTTAACAGTGTTGCGAAGGCTACGAAGGTGGTTTCCGCAAATTCATGTTGCTCCGCAATAGCACGGCAGCTTGCGGCCGATTTTGGTTTCGCTTGCTTGCATCGTTGAAGCGTTTAGAAAAACATTTGGGGAGAGACAATTCGATTGTTCAGTGTAAAATCTCACTTTCATACCACAAGTATATTTTTTGGACGTTCGCGGCCGCTCAGTGACCCTCCACATGTCCTTACATCATGGACGCCATATTTACTTTTGGAAAGGGCTTGCCGAAAAGGTGGTGCTGTCTAAGAAAGTTTCATAATACTTAAAGTAAGTTCCATAATAAATAAAGCAGTATTTATTCCAGCAAGGCAAATGAGATATTATATTGCCTATAGAGATATTATCAGTAAATAATGTACTACTTTTGACGCTGTAGCAGGCATGCATTTCGGTTGTGTTGTTTCCTGGGTGCTGTTACAGTGTACTAGAAGGGGTAGTGCTGTCAAGTTGTCGCCGAGTGTGAGCGCTCTTTACCTCGCTGATACCGCTAGTTCTCCACATCTCGACCCGTTCGCCGAGCCTAAGTCGATGTGTTCTGTCACCATGAGTAGCGTACGGCGGCAGGCCTTCACGGCACAGCAAAAGCTCAAGATCATCGCCTTCGCTGAGGAATTCGGAAATCGCGAAGCGGGAAGACGGCACGATGTAGACGAGTCCTGCGTGCGACTGTGGAGAAAGAAGAAAGAGAGCCTACAAGCCGCGCACCGCGACCGTAGGTCATTTCGTGGCCCCAAGACCGGTGCCTACCCTGAGCTGGAGGCGGAGCTAGTAAAGTTCATCAAAGATGTGAGAAGCAGGGGTCACGCCGTATCGACCGAGATGGCCCAAGTGGAAGCGCGGCGACTTTCGAGGGAGCTAGGCCTACCTCACGAGTTCCGTGCGAGCCGCGGATGGCTGCACCGCTTTATGAAGCGGCAAGGGCTCTCAATGAGACGGCGGACTACAATATGTGATCGCTTGCCGGCTTCTTATGAGGAGAAGCTGCTCAAGTACCAGAGATATGTAATTGGCCTGCGAAAGCTGCACAATTACATTTTCTCGCAAATCGGCAATGCGGATGAAACTCCTGTTTATTTTGAAATGCCGTTGGACACAACGATTGAGAAGACGGGCAGCAGTTCGGTGAGCGTGCTGACCGGCAGGAACACGAAACTGCGCATCACAGCCTTGCTTTGTGCCCTCGCCGATGGCACGCAACTGCGACCGTACGTCATCTTGAAAAGGAAAACTCTACCAAAGGTTCATTTGCCTGCCGGTGTGGTGGTGCGCGCACACGAGAACGCATGGATGAACAGTGACTTGTTCGTAGACTGGATCAAGACGATATGGGAGAAGAGGCCCGGTGCGATGGTCGCAAAGAGGTCCATGCTCATTCTTGACTCGTTCCGCGGCCACACAACTGAGGAAGGGAAAGACCGCCTTTCACGCAACGACACCGACTTAGTTGTTATACCCGGTAGAATGACGTCAATGTTGCAGCCTCTAGATGTGTCGCTTAACAAGCCCTTCAAAGCGCATGTCAAGCGCTATTACGCCGAGTGGATGGCCGAAGGCTGCTACGACTTGACGCCGACAAGATGAGTCCGAAGGCCTGATATTGCTCTATTCTGCAAGTGGATTGTCGAGGCATGGAAGGCCATTCCAGGTGAGATGGTGCGAAAAAGTTTCAAGAAATGCTGCATCACAAACAACATGGATGGAACCGAAGATGACCTTGTGCATAATAGTGAGGACTGCGGCTCAAGTGATAGCTCTAGCGAGAGCAGCGACAGTGAGTGAATTGTGACTGGCCTCTTGCAGACAGCGTATTCTACTTGCTAAATAAAGCCTTTTCTGTCTACATATGTGCTATGTTGCTTGAGCAGTAGCTGTTGTACAGCCTTTCCTGTATATCAAATGTGCGGGCAATACGCGAGGATTTTTTTTTTCTTTCTCTGTGAGCTGAAAGTGGGGGTGCGGATTATATATAGGGGCGGGTTATACGCACAAAAATACGGTATTATTATTATTATTATTATCATTATATTGTTATATTATTATTATTATTAATATATTATTATTATTAGTTGTAGTAGTAGTAGTAGTAGTAGTAGTAGTAGTAGTAGTAGTAGTAGTAGTAGTAGTAGTAGTAGTAGTAGTAGTAGGAGTAGTACTTAGTACTATTGTATTTCCCCTGGTCGACTCCATGGGATAACGAGACAAGGTGTATGTTATATTTTCATGATTTTGAGCAAATCGCGATTCGGTTTTAAAGAAAGCATATACAGTGAAACACTAATTATGTGACTTTCAGGGGACCATGCAAAACTGCCGTATAATCCGGGCTTTTTATAATCTGAAAAACTATTATAGGCAGTGACACTCAGCCTTGCCCAAAAAACTGGTACAGACACGGCACAACCTTTTGCCTCTGCAAAGAAGGTAGATTAAATTATTGTTGCCAGTGGCATCTAATGACAGCATTATTTACAGGAGGTGCTAGTGAATTGTGGACCTCAACTTAAACGAATGCTGAATTTAACGCGCATCTTTCTACCAATAAACAAAGCCCGAAAATTCCATGTGCGTGAAACTGAAATTGAAACTGCATTGCCAACAGCCTCCCGTCAGAAGAGAGGAGCAGCGTTATCACTGTCACATAATGGTGACGGACCACGAATTTGCATAGCATGCTTTCGTGTGCGATTGAGCCGTGCGTTGTAGTTTATTGGCTTGTGATGTGCACCTAGTGATGTCCCGCTGTTATTATGAACGTGGACGTCAAGTGAAGGTAATTTCGCCTGGTGAAAATAGCTACATCGTGCCCTTATGCGTGCGGAAGCCTGTGACTGTGAGTGCGACAAAGGCTGGAGATCAGCTGGATGTCGACCAGGAAAAGTTTCCAAGGACAGCAAACATGAAAATACCAGCTTATCAGCCAGTTGAACCAACTCTGTGTGGATAGAGCTTGACTAGGTAATGACCCCGAATACGTACACATGCAATCGAGGCGCATGTAGAAACGCATGAGGAGAATATATTTTCCATTCTAAGAAGACAACCTGTCTCACAGTCTACTTTTGTAATCGTCAGTTTAGAGAAACACAAGTTTATATTTTGCACTTGTGAATATTTGTACGACGTTTTCTTCGAGTAAAGGTGGTGTTTTCTTTTGGACCGAATCTTAGTTATTGTAAGATGGGGGTTCGGCGTTAAACTGTGTCGTATAACCAAGGTCTTTAATACATTATTTTTATAGGGATTTTGCCGGGACCAAACCATTTCGGCGTGAAATGCGGGTCGTCATGAAACTGGGGGACGTGTAATCGAAG